TGACCATTTTGAGGATGAGATTTCCTTTAATTTTCAGCTAAGCGAGTACTTGTCTGTATAAATTCTGCCTGTACATAATAAAATCTTCCCAGGTTCTCTCAACTTGGGCAAGATAGTCAGTGTCTGCCAACTGAGCAAAACCTCCCCAGGGTTTTGCAACTGGGGTAACCCAGGTACCTCTTTTTGAAACTAAGTTCAAGGAAAATATACTCTTCAGAGAGAGGAGTTTATCCACCACCAAATAAACCTCAAGGCTATCCAAGACCCAGAAGAGATCCAAATTCATCTGGACACTCCAAGGAGGTAGACAAGCACAAGATGTTTCTGCTGGTGCCAAGGCCCTGGATCTTTACAGAGTTCAGAAAAAAGGAGAGAAGTCTGGTCTGGGTCACCAAAAACTGATTGAATAAACATGCACCTACCTTTCCATTTTCCTAAAGGTGTCTTTCGATAATTAGAAGTTTTCAGCTTTAAAGTTCAAGTTTTTATTTTTTTTGTGACTATCCAATTGAAAATTTTTTACCTATATCAATTTTGTGAAGATTTGCTTATATTTTGTAGAAACTTTTTAAATTTTAACTTTTTAAAATATATTCATTTCAATTTTATTTTGAGTAGAGTGTGAGGTAGTATTGATATACTTTTTTTTATAAAATTATACATTAATTCCAGCACCATTTGTCGAAAAGACTTTCCTTTCCCCTTTAAGTTGCCTTTGGGCCTTTGGGAGAAATAAACTGATCACATAAATATGGGTCTCTTTATGGACTCTGTTCTGTTCTACTGATCTTTGTCTATCTACCTATCAACCTAGCTGTACCGAGTACTGCAGCCTAATAGTATCTTGAAATCAGATAAAGCTTCTAGCCAGACTGTTTTAGGTTCTTTGATTTCCCTAACAAATTTTGGTTGTTTCTTAATTTTTACATTTAAAAGAACTCTTGGTATTTTGGTTGATATTACATTCAATCTATTCTTAAATTGGAGGAGAATTCATAATACTTAATACTGAATTTTCAATTCATGAATACTGAATGACACAAACCGGAACAGACAGCCTTGACAATGAGAAGCTGCTGAAACACTGATCTGTGCTAACAACATCTGAAGTTAATCATTACATGCGAGAGGAACCATTGCAAGTAATTATTGCAATTTCTGTCATTGAACACTACAATTCTAGCAAGAGTAGAAACAGAGGGAAATGGGCTGGGAACCCCAGCGAATATAGCTTTGCATCGCTATGCCTCCTTCAGAGTATAGCTCAGTGAATAAGCATAACCATTTGCTAAAAGCTAGATGTTATATTGTTAAGATGTTACAGTGAGACTCTTTTCCATAAACAGCTAAGGATAAATACGTGAATAAAGGGAAGAAGATTAAACACAGTCTTGAAGGTCAAGACTAAAACATTAACTGTTAAGACTTTCCTCTTCACCCAAGTATAAGCACTCTGATTCTTATTTTGGGAGTTTCATTTTATTCTCCAAATTAATATTTCAAGGCCATGCCAGGGAAACATTAAAAAATTATCTTTTACACTCTCTCTTCTTTGGTACCCTTATCACCCACTCCACCCTAATTTGATGGGAAAAGAAGGTTTGAAAGTGACAATCTAGGATTAAGATTAGATTATAGTATGAAAATCACTCAGTCATGTCTGACTCTGCGAACCCACGGACTGTAGCCTGCCAGGCTTCTCTGTCCATAGAATTCTCCAGGCCAGAATACTGGAGTGGGTAGCCATTCCCTTCTCCAGGGGATCTTCCCAACCCAGGGATCAAACCCAGGTCTCCCACATTGCAGGCAGATTCTTTATCAGCTGAGCCACCTTCCTTCTCCAGCAGATCTTCCCAACTGGGGAATCAAACCGGGGAGTCTGCATTGCAGGTTGATTCTTTACCAGCTGAGCTACCAAGGAAACCCACATTAGATTGTAATGTGAGGAAATGCCTTCATCATTCTTTTTAAATTTTTTTCAAGTGGCCCACCTTTAAACTTGCTTCAAGTGTAAGTTAAAGTGAAGCATAGTTTAAGAACCTTATTGTCTTATTACCAAAGTTTTCTTAAGTTTTATGCTAAAAAGCTAAGAAGACAAAGTTTTTAAAAAAGCAACAAAGAATTCTTATGTATTTCCACTAGTCAATGATAATTACTGTGAACATTTTGGAGTGTATCCTTCTAGCAGGTGTGTGTTTGTGTGTGTGTGTGTGTGTGTGTGTGTGTGTGTGTGTGTGTTTACACACACAGATATCCTAGCCAGTGTTGCTGTCTATAAGCTCCTGGCTTCTCAGTCCTGCCCCAGTCCATAAGGAGGCTGAGCACCGAAGAATTGATGCTTTCGAACTGTGGTGCTGGAGAAGACTCTTGAGAGTCCTTTGGACAGCAAAGAGATCAAACCAGTCAATGCTAAAGAAAATCAATTCTGCATATTCTTTGGAAGGACTGATGCTGAAGCTTAGGCTTGAATACTTTGGCCACCTGATGCAAAGAGTTTACTCATTGGAAAAGACCCCTGATGCTGGGAGAGATTGAGGGCAGAAGGAGAAGGGGGCAACAGAGGATGAGATGGTTGGATGGCATCACTGACTCTATGGATATGAATTTGAGCAAACTCAGGGAGATGGTGAAGAACAGGGAAGCCTGGTGTGCTGCAGTCCATGGGGGTCAAAAAGAGTCGGACATGACTGAGCTACCAAACAGCAACTGTGGTTCTGTGATGGCCAAGACCAGCCTTGGGTTCCTGGGAGAATCTGCAGCTACAGCCTTCCCAGCCCACATTACGTGTGTGCAACTCAGAGGACTGGGCTGCTGGGCTGCCTCAGTTTCCTGATTTGTGATTTTGTTTCCCACTGAACACCTAGAACCCTTTTCTACCCAAACTCCTCAGCTAGTGCCTCACACTCAGGGGTCCCCTTTTTATGAACCACTAAACTGTAGAGGCTATTGGGTCCAGATATCTGCCCAGGTCACTTCCTGGAGATTTCAAGTGTAACAACCCACCCAACAAGATCAGATTCCTCCTGGGTGCTGAAATCTTACCAGGCATCTTCGACACTGAGTTTGGACCACTTTCATCAAGGATCAGTCCTAAGATGGTTTCTCTTCACTGCACCCTGGACCTAATGGCCCCTCTGTCCCCACCAGCCTATCGCATACACCCCAGCATCTGGCTCACTGCCCATTTGCATACTGCTTATTTTCAAATGATTTGAGCTGTATGCTTTCATAGTTTACTTAAAACTGGTTACCCTTTACTGAGCGCAGGGTTATTTAAACTGCTAGAGGGGTATCAGTGACAACATTCTAATTGTTCAGCACTGTTTCAAAGCAATGAAAATCTACACTTATACCTACGCTGTCCTACAGATGGCTTGGTGCCACCTGACATGAAGTAGCCTTTCCATCCTTGCCAGCAGGAAGAACAGGAAAGAAAAAGAAAAGAATAGAAGAATGACCAAAGGAGATTTCTTCACATGTTTCCTCCTTTCAGGGTGGAGAGGCTAGATGGGCAGTTCTCTTTGATCCAATGACATTAAGATGTCTGCTTCTTTTGATGTGTTTTCATTTGGATGTATACAACTATGCTGGACTGCATCTTGCTGCGTTCCCACATGAGATGAAACCCCTCCGTCATAAACAGAGTGGCAAGCCTATGATGCTATTTTGCCCAAAGTGACCTAGATGGGTGATTATTATATAAGTAAAAAAGGCACACTTGCCTAATAGACAAACTCAGACAAGCTCAAGTGGCAGGATTGCCTTTTCCAGAAAGGAAAACCTCCAGGAAGAAGTTTTACAGCATGCTGAGCCATTATCCCAAATGTTCTGCTTTTCCTCCAAGAGAAGTAAGACTGTTTCTGACATTGTATTGTTAATGAGCATATTGTATTGAAGGACAGTGAGGAATTGCAAATCTGTCTACGTCCAAGCTGTTAGCTCCCAGAAGAAAGCTGATGACAAAACACCTCTCCTATGCCAAGAGGGAGAGTTGGGTCCAGAGTAAGGGAAGAGATGGAGCCCTAATTATCTTGGGTTTAATTTTTATTATTATCATTATTATGTGACTTAATAATTATGGTGGAGGAAGACTTAAAAAGACATAATGGTTTGAAGAGACATTTTAGCCACTGTCAGTCAGAGCTAAGTATTTGTTTGAAGCATCTACGCTCATTTTCTGAAATAAGTTTTCATTTATACATAGACAGTCCCTAGATGTAAAAAGTATATGTACTTCCAATCAGTGTGAATTGAGCCTTATTATCTATTCTCATCTTTTGGGAAGCTTGCTGTAATATGGCAGGTATTGGGGGTGGGGGGCAGTCTTAAACCAGGGGCTGTAAACTCAGCCCCTCTAAGGCCAGGCACAGGGTGAGTGGGTGTGATGAGCCCCGTGGCGACGCTGGCCCCCAGGAAAGCACATCTGCCCAGCCAGTGGCGGCTCCAGCCCGGCCCCACAAGGCCACTTGGGAATGCCAGCCCCGTGTCGACAGATACTGAGGCTTTGCAAGGGAAGGCGGAAATCAGGATGTTTATGAGAATTCCCCAGAGTTTTAAGTGTTAGAAATTGACTTAAAGAATTTTCAACCCCCTGGCAATCCCCACAATACACATGTGCAGGCCAGATGCTACTCTGAGACTTGTAGTTTGTGAGCTGTGTTCTAGAGCACGGGAGAGAGGGTGCGCAGGGCATGTGGCAGACTGGGTGGAGCCCTGGGAGGTGACCTGCACCCAGAGCGTGCCATACTTCCAGTGGGGAGACACAGGCAGCAAAGATGCCTGGATCAGGTCAAAAATGGGTCAAGCTGGGCATAGCCCTTTATGTTTTCTACCCACCCATAAATAACTTGCAATATTGAATATTTAAAATTGTGATATATATGTACATGTATAGATCTATAAGTTCTTTGTATCAATGAAAATATCGATATACATTCACAGAAATAGTCCTTGGTTCATTATCCCTATATACAAGATCACTCACTGCCTTGCACATAGAAGAGAGTCAATAAATGTTTATTTCAAATATATTTAGTGAGCATGAATAGACTCTAAGGACTGTTCTAGGATCCTGGGATAATGTAGTGAACAAAGTAGGCAAAGTCTCTGGTCCTCAAGGGATAGAGTTCCAAAGTGGGCAGTCAGATAATCAGTAAGGATCTTAAGAAGTGAATTGAATTTCATGGCGCAGGGTAGGAAGTTCTGCAAAAAAGAGAAGGAGGGCAAAGGGGTTTGGGATTACTGGGAGTGGTACAGCTCACAATATTAATTGGTTAATATTAACCAATGTTAATTATTGGCTAAAATTTTTACCTTAAAAAGCTAAGTAGATATGTTTTTATATAATCTAAAGGTGGGCCAGGATGGGAAGCATGCATTAAATATATTGATAACTTCAAAAGTATGTTTTAGTGATTATGCCTAATTTTTCCTCCAAAGAAATTTTTTTTTTACCAAGTATTGTGTATAACTGTAAAATAGATTTCTTTTTCAAAATATTTACTTATTTGGCTACATCGAATTTTAGTTGCACCATGTGAACTCTTAGCTGTGGCATGTGGGATCCAGGTCTCTGAGCAGGGGTCAAACCTGGGCCCCCTGCATTGGGAGCCTAGAGTCAGCCACTGGACCACCAGGGAAGTCCCTGTAAAATAGATTTCACATTTTTCTAATTTCTAAATTTCACACATTTCTAATTTCACATTTTTTAAATTTTGGTGCTCATATACATGCTAGTCATGTGTCTATTCATTCAGTTATTATTTAATAGAATACCTACTAAGTGCAGAGCCCCAAGTCAGGCATCAGGTAGAGAAAGGAGGACAGTAAGATTTCAGTGACATGGCTTCAAGGACAAAAGCTTCTATACAGAAAAGTTGATTTTTCTCTTCCCTGTGGCCCAGGAATGAGGTGACTTTAAGGGCAAGGTTAGCTTCAATCATTCCTGAAAACAGCTCCATCTCCAAGGAAACCACAGGGGCAGCTGTCTGTCTCCGTGGATGTGGGTAGGGTCCTGTTTGATTCTCACCATCTCCATCACGTCCTCTTCTTGACAGGCACAAAGTCATGGTGAGAGTTAAGTCAGTGTGGGCTCCCAGAGTGATCTCAGGGGCCAATGCTCTGACATCTCATGATACTCATGATACTCATACCCATTCCTGTCTTATGTCTTGAATGAAACCCTTTACCGTCCATGAAACACGTATGAGAGATCTTAAATCATACGAAGAGATCAGCCCACACACAAGAGAGCAGGACCAAGCTCTGGTGTAGGTTCTCAGGAACAGAGGGGTCGTGGGGGTTATTAGACGACTAGGACCGAAATCTTCTATCCCCAGTGGCTACTTCTGGGGTGTCCTTTGGAGACAGGGGCAGACAGCCCCTTTTCTCAGTGTCATGTTTTAAAGTTAGATGGATATCGCAGCTCCCCCAGTGATGTCAAGGGTTAGCACATACGAATAGTTTCCCACTAAGAGGGGTGAGGGGAAGGAGTAGGAAGCCACCCACGAATGCATGCTCACCTCATAATTCATGCACACCTCCCCTGCTCTCCCCACGCACTCTGCTCTGAGCTATCTTGGGGCTTTTGCTATTCTTTGTGAGGAGCAAACAGATGCTGACTGGAGGTCTTCAGGGATTCATTTAAAATTCATTCCCCGTAAAATAATCAAGAACTCATTTTTTAAGATTTTGTTAAAACACCAGTGCATTTATTTCATTACTTGGTTCTTATTTTATTTCTCAACACCCTCAATCAAAGTGCTCTTATGGTTGGTCTTCTTCAGCAACCTGACTCCTTCCACAATCCAAATTTATTAAAAATGCAAACCCAAATGTTCTCATTATCTACATATCTATAATAAGGAATTTGAAAAAAAAAAAAACCTAATCTTTAATTCCATAGACTTTTGAGAACACACCACATTAGGAAGTGGTTAGAAAGGAGGCTGTAATGCAAGTTGTACAACTCAGATTTGGATTTTAAAGAGGCACTGTGGGGAAGCCCCCAGGGTCTCTTCCCACTTAAGACTCTTTTAGAAAAGCCAAGTATAAAAAGAGAGCAAGAAAACCTATAACCCTCAGATCACTCTGATTCCTAGTTTCTTACTCAAACTGTGTAGAGGTCATTTAACTTCTGCCTTCTTGATCTGAAGGCTTAGGGGGGAAAATGTCTCTTTTAACAGAAACAAATTCAGACTAATCTCTCAAGGCAAACATGAAATGAACCTCCCAAATCTTTGGTAGAGGAGGGGGGCATTCATTATAGATAAAGAACAGGTAATGAACAAGGCAAACCAATTGCAGTGATCCAGAGGAAAGGGGGATTGTCCCAAGTGACAGGTAGCAAGTCCTGGAGAGGATGCTTTCATCCTGGAAGGCATTTAGCTCCACCTGGTCCAATCTCGGGTTTCCCTGATAGCTCAGTTGGTAAAGAATCCATCTGCAATGCAGGAGACCTGGGTTCCATCCCTGGGTTGGGAAGATCCCCTGGAGAAGGGAAAGGCTACCCATCCCAATATTCTGGCCTAGAGAATGCCATAGACTCTATAGTCCATGGGGTCGCAAAGAGGTCCAAACTCATGGGAATCAGAAAAGTTAATTGAATCGGTGAGGATTTCAGTGCATTTTAGCCAGGGTAGTTCATCCATTTCATTTAAAATTCTCATTAAGGTTCTTAGCTATTCTTTTTACATAGAACTCTCACACATCTTATGCCTAACTCTTATCGTCAAAAGTCCCCTAAAAGCCAAAAGCATATGACAGCTTCTGAGGACTCTCATATAACTCACAAGTAATTTTTTTTTTCCTATCTAAACCCAAATCCTTATTCAAAGAAATCATATTACCCTGCCCAAGTATTTTTTGATTTGCCCAAAATATTCTGATCCAATTGTCTTATATGAGGGGCAAAAAAAAGAGACACATCACATCTGCTGCGTCTATTCTTGCAGCAAAGCACTAGCTTCATTGGGCCAGAGGAGATTGACAGGGAAAACCATTTTATCTGGTGTTCAAGAATATTTGACATTCAAAGAAAGAACCCCTGTGCACCAAAAGGCAATTGCCCTGACTTCACTGTTTACCAGAAATGTCAACAGATGAAAATGGGGAGTAAGTTATATTGACTTTTGCTAAAATATATACACCTGCCAAGAGCTTAAGTCACACATTCCCTCTTTGGCTCTTAGTTCCTGTCTTAAAATCCCTCATGTTATCCCATTTGTGAAGCTGCATCCTCCACAATCCTGTAAAAGGTTCTATTTTAGGGGTGGGGCACAGGCAGAGAGGGGTGGCATGTTGGAATGGATGAAGTCTGTCATTGCAGATAACCTGATGTTTCTGAAATCAGACACACGAGAGAGAAAAAGCAACCCTGTTAGCTCACCCTAAAAAAATGACAAGATTTAAAGTGACTGATTATGCAGCCAGAAAATTCATCTCTTCATATTCATTGCTTAGTCAGTCATTTGCTTAATTACATTTGATTAACCAAGTGGAAGGTGTTTTTTCTTTGGTATTACTTTATTGTTGGTACTGACTCCCAATTACTGAACGATGTCAGTGGGTAAGAGAATATCTTCATCACTACAACCTAGGCAAAGAGCTATTAATCAGAAAAAAAAAACACTATAGAAGAAATAATAAATTGGAATATATTAAAATAAGGGAGAAGTTAATAACAGTGTACAAGCTTTCAGCTTTCAGGTCTGAGCATATAACATGTAACATGGTGACTGTAGTTGGTTAAGCTATATGGTATACTTTAAATTCATTGAGGGTAGAACTTAAAAATGTTCTTTTTTAAAAAGGGTAAATGTGTGAGGTGATGGTGATGGAGGTGCTATTTAACTTCACAGTGGGGAGAGGGGAGGGAATCCTTTCAGACCCACCATGGATACCAAAGTCTGTGGATGCTCAAATACATAGTCAGCCCTCTATATCCATAGATTCTGCAACTGAGGATTCAATCAACCATGGCTGATAAACGTAGTACCTGATCTGCCTGCCATTGGTTGAATCTGCAGTTGTAGAACCTATGGCTCCAGGGAGCCAAATATCTACCAAAAAAGAAGAATTTGTGTTCGTCAAAAAGCATAATAGGTGAGTGAACAGGAAAACTAAAGCACAAGTGGAAAAGATATTAGCAATTCATGAAAATTTTCTACAAATCATCACACAAAAGAAAATCCAATAGAAAAATGAACAGTGATTGAAAAAATAGAATATCCAAATGTGCAACTAATAAACAAAAAATACTCAATCTCACTAAGCATCAGGGAAATGCCAAATAAAACTATGAGGCAATATGACTATACATAAATAAGAATAAATAAAAATAAGTGACTAAAAAAACCCAGAAGGGAAATAACAAGTGTTGATGAAAGGGCAATATCACAAGAACTCACATTTCCTATTGGTAGAAATGTTCATTGGCTGGAAAACTGGCAGGATCTGTTAACCTGAACAAGCATGTCTTACCATCAACAGAAATGTGTGCAAACATTTACAAAAGGCAGTACCAGAATGTCCATAGGAGCCCTAAGGAAAATAGCCCCAACTGGAAACTACTCAAATGCCCATTGGCAATAGAATGAATATACAAACTGTGGTGTATTCACACAAAAAGTACTACACAGCCATGAGAATAATCACTTGATAACTTTGTATAATAGAGTGATGACTCTCACAAATATAATGTTGTATGAAACAGACCAGCCACATAGGAACACTGCATTATTGTATTACTCCAGTTATATGAAATATAAAATGGGCAAAACTAATGTAAACTATTAGAAGTGGTTTGTCTCAGGAGGGAAGGAGCAGGCAAGTAAGAGGGCTTCTGGGTGCCAGTAACATTCTGATTTTTAATCTGGTGTCACTTACAAGAGGTGTTCATTTGGTAGGTGAAGCTATTAAGCTGTATATTTCTAAGTGTGTGTGTGTGTGTGTGTGCACGCGCGCGCGCACACGTGCACGTTCTCAGTCATGTCTGACTCTTTGTGACATCATGGATTGTAGCCCACTAGACTCCTCTGTCCATGGGGATTCTCCAGGCAAGAATACTAGAGTGGGTTGCCATTTCCTACTCCAGGGGGTCTTCCTGACCCAGGGACTGAGCCTGCATTTCCTGCTTTGGCAGGCAGATTTTTGCCACCGAGCAACCTAAACACCACTCTTCAAAAAAGATGTAAACAGCAAGCAAATTGGACATGACTAACTTGCATTCTCATGAAAACACTTTCAGTCCACAGAGAACACTGTACTTTTGAATGGATAAAATTTGCATTTCTTTTTTCATTGATCTCTTTGAAACTGATAAAGCATATTCTTTGAAATAAGAAAACAGATACCCTAAATTTACAGCAGTACATTTTGTGCTTTTCTTGAAGAGGTGTAATAATTCCTTTTACTAAGCTAGACAATAAACTGAGAAGTATTTTTGTGCTGATAATTACAATGTTTTGGTACACCAGATGCTTTATGTTTAGAAAAACACTCTACTTTCACACACAGTATCCCTCCCTAAGCCAACTCTATTAAGTAAAACAAGAATTATTGTTATTATCCCCATTGTCTGCATAAGGAAAATGAAGCTCAGAGAGGCTGGATGTGTCCATGATCACGAAATATATAGTAACTTAACATGGATTGGATTCAAACTTGATAGGGGATTAGTGCACATACGTTTGTGAAATCAGAACATCCTGTCATTAATTTGTACTTATATTACTACTCAGAAAATCCTCTTATTTTCATTTTTCCTGTACTCCTAATAATCTTCCTGGAATGAAATGGTTCCTCTTGTAATTCCATTTCCTTTCTCTTTCATTTACCAAAAGTTGAAATGTTTCTTAATGCCGATAGCATAAAAGAGTCACTGGAAAATGTTTTTTGTAATTGGAGTCAATTTTTCTTTGTTTTTAATCTGGAAAAGCCTACTGGAACCCTTCAGTGAGTTTAAAGTGAATCCATTTATGGCTGCTTATTTCTTTTCCCAGGTAATTAACACAATGCTACTACAATACCTGGATCATACTATCCATGGGGACTTTATTTTCTTAGGCTCCAAAATCTCTGCAGATGGTGACTGCAGCCATGAAATTAAAAGACACTTGCTACTTGGAAGAAAAGCTATGACCAACATAGACAGCATATTAAAAAGCAGAGACATTACTTTGTCAGCAAAGGTCTGTCAAGTCAAAGCTATGGCTTTTCCAGTAGTCGTGTATGGACGTGAAAGTTGGACTATAAAGAAAGCTGAGTGCCAAAGAATTGATGCTTTTGAACTGTGGTGTTGGAGAAGACTCTCGAGAGTCCTTGGACTGCAAGGAGATCCAACCAGTCCATCCTAAAGGAAATCAATCCTGAATATTCATTGGAAGGACTGATGCTGAAGCTGAAGCTCCAGTACTTTGGCCACCTGATGCAAAGAACTGACTCCTTAGAAAAGACCCTGATGCTGGGAAAGACTGAGGGCGGGAGGAGAAGGGGACGACAGAGGATGAGATGGTTGGATGGCATCACTGACTCATGGACATGAGTTTGAGCAAGCTCCAGCTGTTGGTGATGGACAGGAATGCCTGGTGTGCTGCAGTCCGTGGGGTCGCAAAGAGTTGGACACGACTGAGCAGCTGAACTGACAATACCCGGATCACCTCTGAGCTGGGGCTTGGTGCCTTCGTCCTGAAAGTCGGAGATGTAAGAAAGGGCTACATGATAGAGGTGAGTCCTCGATGATGTTTTGTGACTTTTCTGTGAAGTATAAAACTAGAAAAGGCAAAAATCAAACTTTTAATCTGTTTAGGGTCTACCTTGAATATCCCCTTTCTGACCAAATTTCTTGGAAAGACACAGAAGTAGAAAAATAAAAATTTACAAACACACCACCCAGATAATAGAGGAGATTGACTGATATATGACAAGCAGAATACGTGAGGAAAAAAAAAAAAAAACCTAAAGTGATGAATGTCACAAAGCAGAGAAGCCTAAGCAGCCACCTGGTTAGTTTTTCAGGATGATACATCTTCCCAGTCTCCCAATTCATCCTTCTGTGCCCCCCTACCCTCTGCCTACATGTCTTGCTTTACACTTGTGTCTCTATTCCTGCCCTGCAAATAGGTTCATCCGTACATTTTTCTAGAGTCCACATATATGCGTGAATAAATATTTATCTCTTTCTGACTTAGTTCACTCTGCATAATAGAATCTAGGTCCACCCATATTTCTACAAATGACCCAGTTTCGTTCCTTTTAATGGTTGGGTAATGTTCCATTTTGTATATGTGCCACATCTTCTTTATCCATTCCTCTGTTGGAATTTAGGTTGCTTCCATGTCCTGGCTATTGTAAATAGTACTCAGCTTGATACCCTATGGTGACCTAGATGGATGGAATGGGGATGGGGGTGGGGGGAAGGGAATTCTAAGAAGGGAGGATATATGTATACATATAGCTGATTCACTTCATTGTATAGCAGAAACTAGCACAATATTGTAAAGCAATTATACTCCAATAAAAATAAATAAATAAAAGATAATATGTTTTCCTAGTCAGAGGATGGAAGGCGAGAAAGAGAGTGAAGTAAATTTTTCAGAAGGTGGCTTCATTCATGGATGCTAGACTGACTTATGAGCCACTTAAGGCAGCTCTATAATTTAATACATTTAAATTATACATTTTTCCTTATTCTGTAGCTGGACTCAGTTGTCATTAAAGGTCCCAGAACCCTTTTGAAAAATAGTACTTTAAGAATTAAAGAATGAAAATGACTTTTATTATTGTCATTATTACTATTATTTTTGAAATAGACTTTAATGAGTTTTTATAATGATCATACTTTATTTGTATTTTTGACCTTTCGGTGATAGAAGCAGTTCAACTTTATGAAAAATATTAACAAATAAGACTATCATGAGGAATGTATGCTTTACATAGACATGGCTGGTAAAATAAATAGATGATTCCTTTGCTATTGTTACTTAAAATTTCAATAAACTTTTCTCTGCACTTAAAATATCCCTTACTCCCTCCACTGAATAATCATAAATGAAAAGGCTTTAATTTGAAATGTGGCAAGAAATTTTACTATATTAAAATATCTTAATACCACCAAGGCTACTAATTTAGTCATTGTCAAGTCTGATCACTAAGTAAGAAGGCAGGATGCCTCAAAGATATTGGGTCCTTACCGTGATCTCCACTGCAATTGAATTCATAGGAATGTGGGACTTCAAGGTTCTTTCATACACTGGTGGAAAAACACATAGCACTTCAGATGTCTCTCACCCCTGCATACAAGCATACGGCCTGATGGAGTTTGAAAACAAAGGTCATGCACCTCTTTTTGTTGTAGCTCTAAAAGCCGGCCACCGTTGTCTTTTTAAAACATTTTTAATTATTAACAGTGTCGTGTTAGTTTCAGGTGTACAGCATTGTCTCTAATAATAAGCATTACAACACAACTATGAGACTGAGTCTCTGCCATAACTTCTGAATTTTCCAGATGCCCCCACCGACTTGTAACCTTGGTTATTGAACATGACCTACCTACTCTCCCAATCCAGCCATTTTATCTGTCCAAGTCTCTTCTGACTCACACAGGAATATGCAAAAGCTATAGTTCACCAAAATGTTCTAATTGCTTTTAAAGAATGGAGTGCTACAATGATTCTGAAAATGTTTATGAAGATTCTAGAAGAGCTGCTAAAATGAAGGTCATCAATTCTCTTTGATTAGAGGTGAAGAATTCTTTGTTTAGAATTTGGAGACTGAGAGCTTTAATTCATAACCAAATGTATTGGTTTTCTATAGCTGCCATAATTACCACACTTAGTGGCTTAGGATGGGCTTCCCTTGTGGCTCAGCTGGTAAAGAATCCGCCTGCAGTACCCGAGACCTGGGTTCGATCCCTGGCTTAAGACAACACGAACAGTGACTTAGAGTTCTGTAGGCCAGAAATCCAACAGGGTCTCAGTGGACTGACATTAAGGTGCCTGTCTGAAGTCTCTAGGGAGAATCAGTTGGCATAATTTATTCCTAGTAGCTATAGGTTCAAGGCTGAGGTCCCTGTTTCTTTGTTGGCTGTCAGTTGGGGGCCATTCCTAGCTTCTAGGGGCCCGCTTTCTTTATCTTCAAAGGCAGCCAGAGCAGACTGAGTCCTTCTCATGTGACATCTCTCTGACTCACTCTTCTATCCTCTTCCACTTTTAAAGATTCATGTGATTATATTCAGACCATCTGGATAATCTAGAATAATTTTCTCATCTCAGTGTCTGTGCCCTTAATCACATTTGCAAAGTGCTTTGTGCCCTGGAAGAAAATGTATTCATAAATTCCAGCTGTTATGACTTGGGTATTTTTGGGGAGGCCATTGTTTTGTCTACGATGCCAACCTTATATATCCCTGGTTGAACAATAATGTCCTCTATTGATGAGAATAAGCTTACTAAAAAGGATTTCAAATGAATAAAATTTGCTGATGGACAAAGTGTTCTTTGCTTCATTCATCTGTTCTATTCTTATCTGCTACCAGTAGAGTCTAGATAGAGAGATGAGAATAAATGAGTCAATGCTATAGGCAATTAATATGCTGAAGCCCTAAACCGCAATGTGGTGGTATGTGGAGATGGAGCTTTGGGGAGCTCCTTAGACTCTGATGAAGTCATGAAGGCTCATGATGTGGTTACTGCCCTTAGGAGAAGAGACACCAGAGAGTTTGTCTTCTCTCTTCTCTGCCAAATGAGCACACAGTGAGAAGGTGGCCATTTGCAAGACAAGGAGAGGACTTTCATCAGAACCAGACCAAGCCATCATCCTGATCTCTAACTTCCAGATTCCAGAGCTGGACCTCCTACTAAAATTTCTACTAAACTACCCAATCCTGGTTGATTTGTTTATTTGTTTTAATGGCAGTTTGAGCTGTCTAAAGCAGAGAAGTTTTACGTATAAGCAAAAAAGACTCATCCCCCTATTTTCAATCTAAAGAAATGTAGCTTCATAGTGGAGGTGGCATAATCTCTTCAAAAAGAGTAAACTATAGATCTCATTAGATATGGTCTTATTTAATCACAACTTCATCAGCAAAGTGCAAAAACATCTTAGCCCAAATCTACTGGGATATTCTAAAATACAACTCTCACTGGAATAGTTTGAGACCTTCAAAATACTATTTATAATAATGATCGCTCCTTCTATATGATTATAGATCAGCTTTCTAGTAACTAACAGTAATAATGTTAAGAAGTAATTTTAAAAAAAATTTTGGCTGTACCACACGGCATGTGGGATCTTAGTTACCCAACCAGGGATCAAACCCTCACACCCTGCATTGTAAGGTGGAGTCTTAACCACTGGACCACCAGGGAAGTCCCAAGGAGTAATTTTTTGACTGTTAAACATTGGCAAACTATATAAAACTTTAACCAGTTATTAAGGATTAACAGTGGATTTCTTTCTCACTGCATACAGGGCAAGCTTAAATGTAAACAACTTTGAGGATTGCTAATGAACTGATTTAACTATATGTTTCAGATTTTAAAATCTTGAAATATTTCTCGTATATTTTCATTTTTTAAGATCATAGAAATTCCTCAATAATGTAGTGATGGGATACAAAAATAAAGTTATCTGTTTCAGTGGGCAGACATGTCATGGTTTATCAAGTCCCCAGGAAGGTCTTTTTGGTAAATAATCTCCAAAGATGTCTTATTCTCTTCCTGTATAAACATGTCACTCCCCTAACTGGGAGTTGGAGTTTATTTTTCCTCCACTTGAATCTAGACTGCCCTTGCAACTACTCTGTCTAAAATAATACAGAAGTAATACTCTGACACGTTGGAGCACACTAAAAGATGCAGAAGTAATTCTCTGATACTTCAGAGCACACACCTTAAGAAAATGACAGCTTCTGCTTCCTTCCTTTTAGAATGCTGTTTATTGGAACTCAGCCTCCAATCAACAAGGAAACCCAGGCAACTACATAGGGAGGTCATGTGGAAGTGAACCAGGGTCCCTGGCCACCAACTCCAGCTAAACTCCCATCTGGAAGCCAGAAAGGACTTCCAGCCATATGTCTGAGGCCACTTGGATCTTTGTGCCACCCTAGTACTCCAGCCAGTAACACATGAAGCAGAAGAATTGCTCATTCAACCAAAATGGGAGAAAAATGGAAAATACCACCAGCAGAAGAAGGAAGGTGAGCTGTACAATTTCAAATGGAGTAACTGGGGTGACCTCATGACACGGTTACATGAGGAAGTGACCCGTGATCCTGTCTGGAGGAAGACTATCCCGGAGGACTTGCCAGTGAAAATGCCCCAATCCGTGGGTGCATTGTATGTTTGAGAAAAGTTAAGGAATCCAGTACAATTGCAACTAGGTGACTAAAGGGAAGAGTGGTAGAAAAAGAGATCCAAGAGGTAACGGTGGTCCATAATACACTGGATTCTCTAATGGTACCCTAAAAATTGAATGGTGGTACACTAAAAATATGCCCACATTCCAACTTCTGGACCCTGTAAATGTGACTTTATTTGGAAAAAAGAGTCTTGCCAATGCAAATAAATTCATGATCTCAAATGAGAACATCCTGGATTATCCATATCATCTTAAATATAGTACTAACAAGTATTATTATAAGAGAAAGAAGAGAATATGGTCATGTGAGGACAGAGGCAGTGATGGGAATGATGCAGCCACCGTCAAGGAGCACCTAGAGTCATCCCAAGTTTGAAGAGACAAAGAAGGATTCTCCCTTCGAGTGTCTGGAGCGAGTTCTTAAAACTTGGTTTCATTCTTCTGGCCTCCAGAACTGTGAAAGAATTAATTTCTGTTGTTTTAGGGCACTGAGTTTGTTACAGCAGCCCTAGGAACCTAATACAGTCTTTCTAGAACATTGTAAGGATTTTGTACTTTAATTGGGGGAGAAATTGGAGCAAGGTTAGAGCAGAGAAGTAACATGATCTGACTTACATTTTTAAAAGTTGATGAACTGCTAGGTTGAAAATAATTTATAAGGGCTCAAGAGAAGAAGTCAGGAAACCAGTTGGCAGGCTAATACAAGCAAGAGAAAAAGACAGCACCGGCCAATATTACGGCAGTGTTGGAGACAAGGAGTGGTTAGATTCTGGATGCATTTTCAAGGTAGAAAGAACAGAATGTCTTCAAAGATTGGACCTAGAGTACGAGAGAAAATGTAGTGCCAAAGATGACTCCAAGGTTCTGGATGTAAGCAAATGGAAAAATAGTGTTGCCGCTGACTGAAATGGGAAAGGTGGAAGGTAGAACAGATTTGGGGGGGAAAGAGCAAGGAAAATCCATTTGGACATGTTGAAATTTGAAGTTGCTGTTAAATATCCAAGTGGAGATGTCAGGCACACAGCTATACATAAAAATCGAAAGCTTGGGAGAAAGTATTGGCTGGAGATATTAATTAGGGTATGTCGGCATATAGGTGATAGTCAACACTATAGAACTTGGGGAGATCCACAAGAGAGTCAGTGTGGACAAAGAAGCAGACCCCAGACAGAACTTGGAGTGCTCTGGTATCAGGAGAAATGGGAAGCAGAGAAACAAGCAAAGGAAACCAAGGAGAGTAATCAATAACATGGGAAGAAATTTTTTAAAACCTTTGCTCAAGTATAGTTGATTTACAATGTTGTGTTAGGTATACAGCAAAGTGATTTGGTTATACATATACATGTATTCATTCCTTTTGAGATTCTTTTCTCATACTGGTTATCACAGAAGATTGAGTTGAGGTCCCTGTACTACAATAGGTCCTTGTTTGTTATCTATCTTCTGTATAGTAGTGTGTGTGTGTTAACACCAAATTTCTAATTTATCCCTCCTCCAATTGTTTCCTTTGCTAATCATGAGTTTGTTTTCTAAATCTATGAGTCTGTTTCTGACTTGTAAATAAGTTCATTTGTATCAGTTCAAAAATGAGATATGAGTGACATCGTATGATATTTCTCTCTCTCTGTCTGACTTCACTTAGTAAGATAAAATTAAAACGTGGTATCCTGGAAAGCAAAGGAAGGGTGTTAAGGAGAAAAGAGTGACCAAACTGTGTCAAGAACATGACTGGGGACAAGTAAGATGAGACCTGAGAATGATTCAGAGGATCTAGGCATGTGGAGGTCACCGGTAACTTGACTAATGAAACATTTGAGGCAGAAGCTGGGCAGAAGTGGGCTTAAGAGGAAGTAAGGAAGGAGGACTTGGAGACCACATGACAAGTCTTTAGGAGAGTTTAAAGTCAAAGAGGAGCAAAGAAATGAGATGGTAGCTGGCAAGGGAAGACGGCGCAAAGAAAGAGTTTCTGAAATTGAAAGGAAAAGCATCATGTGTGTATGCTGATGATAGCCATTGGGAAGAGGAGGGAAAGACAATGGAGAAGAATGGGAAGTAGGACAGGTGATTCTCATCTGATGCATAGCACAATTTCCCTTCAAGTTAAAGTCTGCATGAGCAGACACCTCTTCCTCACACCGCAGAGTGTGTTCTCTAACTCTCCTTCCTATCCCACTTATAATCTTTACTTTCATTCTTTGATTTTGCCTTATTACTCATCTCTCTAAAACTACAATGCTTAAGCCTAAGTATGATACAAAAACCTCACCAATGCCAAGAATAGTGGAAGG